TTTTTTTTTTTACTAGATAAATATTAAAGTTCTCAACGCATAGAAAAAAAAATAATTTGCGACAGTTTTCCACACGTAGCACAATGGTTTGGTTTAAATGTCATGTTATGTAATACAAATGTTATTTAATTTCTCAGTCTCTGGGACTCTTTGCAATGCTTTATAGTGACACGCTCCCATGCAAAACAATCTACTGGCCTATCTTTGAGGCTGGTTAGATTAGGGTTCAACACACCAATCTTTGGCATCAAACAGAAAACATGTTATGGAAAAACCTCATGCTGAAGAAAGTTAAGCCAACTTTGGGTTAGTCTGGCTTGTCTAATTATTGTAACAACAGTTTCAACTCTTTCGGGGTTAATGCGTGTTTCTTGTTTCTCTGTGGGAGAATGGAGGTATGCTGGACTGGTTTATGCTCGACGTGATATGATTAGTGTTTCCGATGGATCCCTCCAATTCGTTAACCTTTGTAGATAGTGTTTGTATTCGCACACCCCTTTGTGGGTAATGTTTGTAAACTCGTTGTGGGTCGTATTGGCCTTTGTGGCCTTTGTGTTTGTGGTTGAAATTATACAATAGTACCGTAGCACCAGCTGGCGTTGCTGAGTGGTACTACGATCCAATAAGATTAAGCCATGTGTACAACTTAGACATGTCAACAGAACCATAAAGTTTTGCCGTTAGTGCCGACGTTAAAAAAACAACATGTGGTTATGCCCACCCAAAAGCTTGAAGTCCTCCCAACGCTGGCTTTTAGACCCTGATTGCGTCAATATTTCAGATCTAAGATTAGATCAACAAATTTCTATGCAATAATATTCTTTGACCAATTGCTGTGCAACAAAATTATTTGACATTGGGTCATTACCCAAAAAGGCAAAGGCTTTGAGCCTGATGTGGGAGGCGAAGGGGTCAATTTTAAAGGGGATATTCAACGGCAAGATTTTCAGCGTTGTATCCACCGCCACAGTCGTTTCAACAAATTTCAGCCATAGCTTATGGGAGAAAATGAAAAAAATCTCGAAGAGACCTCATCGGAGACAATGGCGGAGGCGCTGGAACCCAAAAACTGCATAAATTCAGACCCGAAATCAGTAGCAATTGGCGCAAGTGACTTGATAAACTCCCGAGTCTGCGATGGGTATCGGTGAGCAGTTAATTTTGGCGGCGAGTTTGGGTCAACTTCTCAGGCAGCGCAGCCCACAGATATATATATATTTTTTTTGGTCTGAGCCGACAGAGAATTTAGTCTCGGGTATTTCTAATTTGCAGCGATGGCGGTGGTTAAGGGTTAACAGCAGTCTATTAAGTTTGTTGCCGACTGTCTAAGTTGTACACATGGCTGAATCTTATTGGACCGTAGTACCACTCAGCAACGCCAGCTGGTGCTACGGTAGTATTGTATAATTTCTCCCACTTGTCAATGACATATGAATTTTTGGACTGAAATAATCAGATAATTTGGTGACGACGTTGTTAAACTCACTTCTCTATCAATCTATAAAATTTATAAATAAATAAATATTAAAAAAAGCCCAATTGTCAACAACCCCATTTGACCCAAGAATAACCCAAGCTCATTTAGAACAAGAAGAACAAAAACTTGAAAGGAAAAAGAAATTGATTCAAATTAATGCTCCAAGCCTCCAACCTTACATAAGAAATAAATAATGCACCATCTTTAATTACTTTACAATTTGGCTTGCGCACACTACATCACTTGCACCTTTCTGATAAAAGCTATCATATTTAGGCCACGTTTGGCATGCCTTACTATGCCATATTTAGGTCATATTTATGCCTTACTATTGATAAAAAAAAAAAAAAACATGTGTGTTTCACATTAAAATCCATAATTCAATACTTGAAAAATCAATGATTAGATTGATTAAGTGAGGATAGCTGATCACATACTAATTCATTCTCTCTCTTATTCCTAACTTCCCAGCTAATTCACAACTTCCCCAATTCCAAGTAAATAAACATTTTGTAAATCACAACATTGGAGAAGGCAAGGGTAGCTATATGTATGCACTTGCAAGTACGGAACTTATTGTTTCTTAGAATTGAGAGGCCTTCAGGCTTAGAAGCAATTTTATCAATTTCAGACCAAGATTTTTTGATGGTTTGGTAGCGTGTCTCTCTCTCTCCTCCTACAGTACATGCATGCACATTTATGGTGAGTGATTTATGGTTAGTATTTTATTTTATTTTATTTTATTTTTTTAGGACCTTTCCTATTGAGAGGGGCGATAACATACTAAACTCACACATACTACACGGATGCTAGGACTCGAACTCAGGACCTTGCCTGAGGGAGTAAATACTCCAAACCACTACATTAGTTGGTCCTTTGCAATTACAAAAAGATAAAATAAATAAAAAAAAACATTAGTGAAAAGTGAGACCAGGAATAATGGATGCGAAGAAAAGTCGAGAACATATATCCATAGAATGAATAAATAAATAAAAATATTTCAAAGATTCTTTTGTATCTCATTCTATTTATTTAACTAAATAAAACCGGTCCATTACTAAATCTAAGATTGTATGATATTGTTCACAATATAATCACCTAAGTTCAAAACATTACAACATTAATCCTTAAAAATGCCCTTAAATATACCGTATAGGATCGGATGTGACAGTTATGAAGAAGGCTATGAAAGTCACTTACTTCCATCATATGATCCACCAATAACAATCACCAGACTACGTTGAGCATGTAGTTCCTCCTTTACATGTATGAGGATCTCTGCATAATCTGCTATAGCTTGGGCTGAGTTGAAGTATCCAAGAGTGCTTGCATTTTTAAATGCTTCCTCCATTGATCCGAACGGGATTGATTCCCCATAGTATCGGTGCTGCAACAAAATGTAAACTACTTATACCTTTCTTCTTCTTCTTCTTCTTTTTCTTTTCTGTATCAAATAAGAAAACTTCACTTCAAGACCAGAAAATTGTGTTAAGAACCAAAATTCATATTCGTACCTCTATATATACCAGGAGAGCTTTAAACTGAAGGGCATTATCTGTGAGAAAGCCAAGCCAAGTTAAATCATCACCTAATGGTTGTTCTGCACCCAGGTAAGCAAATATTGGTGCACTAATATTGGAGCCACCCCGATACTTCAAATTGATCACATAGGGTACATTGTATTATTTGGAATTAAAAGAATAATGGTCAAGGACTCAAATTGTGTCCACATAACTCTATGCCTCTCAAAAGCCCAATTGAAGCCAAGTACATAAGAAGGGTCAGCCCATTTAAAACATGAAGAAGATCAGAAACTTGAAAGAACAACCCAAATTAATTCAGGTGCCCAGGCCAACTGTGTAATGTGTACAAATTTGAGTAGAGAGTCAGATGCCATGAAAAACTTAACAAATTGGCTCTTAGGCCCCGTTTGGTTCATGGGAAAGGAGACTTGGGGATGGGAAATCAATTACTTTCCCATATTTGGTAAGTCCAGGCTTGGGAAATCGTTGCATGGCTCATAGGAAAGTAAGGGGGAAAGTGAAGCCATCCTCCTAACTTAGGTTTTGTTTTCCCTCTTTATGTGAAAGTTTGGGAAAATGAGCCAATATTAAATAAATATTTTTCATGACCATTTTGTCCCCATTAACAATTTAGAATTACAATATAGGGTAAATTACTCAAATGGTCCTCAAACTTCTACTTGATTTACATTTTGGTCCCTAAATTAAATTATTCGTTCAAATGGTCCATTAACTATATACTAATCGCTCCATTGGTCCTACCGTTACATTCTGTCAATGTTACTGTTAAACATGAGGTCAAATTGGTCATTTCGTGCGTTAAAAATAAATACATATTGAAAAATGAAATAAAAACTCTCCCTCCCCCTCTCTTTCTCTTTCTCTTTCTCTCTCTCTCTCTCCATTCCACCATGCCACCACCCTCAAGCTCCAACCCCCAAACCCATCCCACAACCACTCTCCACCCAAACCCATCCAACAACCACCCTTCACCCTAGGCCTTATGAACCCAGAACCCCAGCTCCTCCCCACCCTCCACCTGAGCCAGCAACTACAGAAAAAGAAAAGAAAAAAATCTTCCACAGACCCCCTCCCAACGAACCCAGAACCCCAACTCAACAACCACCCAGACCCTCTCCCTCTCCCCCTTGATTTCCCTTTGTTGTTGAGAGACAACCACCCACCACCCTCCTCCCCACCTCATCACCTGCCAACCCCACCTCCCAAAATCACAGCCATTGTCAATTTCTCACCCTCCAAGCGCACTCTCCTCTCCTCCCACCTCACCTCCTCATCTCCCAAACCATCCAAACTACCCAAACTCTTTCCCCACACCCACAACCCTATACCCATCGCACTCAACCCCTGCCTCCACTAAAAGTTCCTCCAGGAGCTTTTAGAACCATCATCCGACGTTCCAGAACCTTCTCCTTCTTGCAACCCACCTGCTAAGTTCACGCCTTTGGAGCATCAAGTGGTGGACCTCAAGAAGAGGTACCCAGATGTCCTTTTGATGGTGGAAGTTGGTTACAAGTACCGGTTCTTCGGCTAAGACGCCGAAATTGCTGCTAGGGTTTTGGGGATTTATGCCCATATGGAGAGGTCTGTGGGGAATGGGGGAGAAGAAATCAAAGGTAGGGGGTTTGGGTCTCATGATTTTTTTTTTCTCTTTTTCTTCAATTCTTTTTCTAATTTTGTATTTATTTTAACCCTATTTTATTTGTTAATTATGAAAAGTTGTATTTACCCTAAAATTTGGTTAAATCTAACAGAAAATTAGACGGTGGGACCAATGGAGCGATTAATATATAATTAATGGACCATTTGAACGAATAATTTAATTGATGGACTAAAATGTAAATCGAGTACAAGTTTGAGGACCATTTGAGTAATTTACCTTTACAATATATCATTAAATCCATTCTTTTTTTATTTGATTTAATATGGGTATAATTGAAAATTTATACAAACTTTGTTTTCCATTCCTACTCGAAACAAACATGGAAAAGGAAATAAAGTGATATCTCTCGGTTACTTTCCCAGTATTACCAAACATGGGAAATGAATCTTCCATTTCCCATCCCTTTGGAAATAATATGAGCATGAGAAATGATTTCCCCTCAAATTCATTCCGTGAACCAAACGGGACCTTAAGAAAAAACTAGTCGAGTTCATCGTATTATAATGACTGTACTTGTGTGTGTGTGTGTGTGTGTGTGGATGGTGCTCACAACTCGTACACCACCTTTGGTAACACCTTCCAAGTGATGATATAAATGAGATGATGGGCTCTAGTGTATGGCCAATACGTGACTTCCAAGTTTGGCACATGCAGTTATAACAGTTTCAAATTGGCGTGTTCGGGTTGTGTCATTTTGGGGTCGAGTACGAATTAATCCTAATTCGACACAAATTGTCAATTGCAAAGTCATCTAAAAAATTAAGAGTACCAATAACTAGCACTTTGTCTATTAATATTTTTCTTTATAACGTTGAAACAAGTTACAAATCCGAATGGTAATTCACACTGATAAAGAAAAAAGTTCAGAGTTCTATACGGAAATTTTGGATAAATTTTATCGAGTAACTAGGGTTTTGTTTGGTCAGATGACAACCTAAAAAAATTGGTGGAGAAGGGTGGGTTGTGCGTTGGTTGGTCCATATGCACTGGTTTGGTGACTTATCCTAGTGTGCCAATCAATCGCATAACCATGTATGTAGCAGCCATTTTGCCTCGTCAGTGTTTGTCGACAGACACAGCCAGTCTTCTTCCACTACCCTTTTTTTTTATTCTTATTTTTTTCTTATACCTAAGTTTCAAAATTGAATCATTTCCAATAAATATATTACAAAATTAGTATAATGCGCTACACTGTTGCCACCTGTCCCTGCGACAATCTGCCTCACAACAACTACCAACCATTCAAACTTTGAAATGCAAGTTGATAGATAGGTCGCCATGACCCAATTGTCTTTCTCAGCAGTGTTATCTTGCAAGGAATGTCTCTCTCAGTTGATGACTCTTGTTTGATCATCTGCATATGATCCAACGGTCAGAAGACAAAGAACCAAGATTGTGATATTATTTCTGACCTCTTAATTAGGGCATTTCACAGTGACGACTTGACTTAATGATGAGCTCAAGACAAAAAGGTCATTAGAAACATAAACTATCCAACTTTCATAGAATTCTGCGGTCGCATGGATGCGAAATCATAGTTTACCAACCATTATATTTAAAATCATTTATGGGTTTACCTAACCATTATCCATAGTGCTTTATTAATTCTAAGCAAAATCTAGTAATTGTTTGCTCACAATCTAATTGGATAAAAAAAATAATACAATTATTCCATCTTTCATATATTAGTACGTATAGGGTATAGGGCTTAGTACATATACCTCATTCTAGAATATCGACTTACCCATACTTACCATCACTGCCCATTTATTGAAAACCTTCAGAGGTTATTTGTTACACAAGCTTGGCTTAGTCATAAGTAACACAACATATATATAAGTGATATTCTACGTTATTTTAAAGTAATTCTTCAACCCATTTATAAGTGATATTGAGAATCTGCAGTATATTGAGGGCTTGATTTTTTTTTCAATGGCAATGTAAAAGTAAGAATTAAAACTTCTTCGACCCATTCAAAAGTGATCAGTTGGCAATAACATTCACTCTAAATCAATGAGTAAAATTGAATACATTAAAACCACCGTATAAAAAATCACATATACCATTTAGGACTTTTGGCCTATTTTTATTCTCAACAAATAATTTTATATAATCGCAATTCTCACCCCCTCCCCCCCCAAAATAAATGAAACTAATCCAATCATTAATTTTTTCTATTTGAGGAGTGAATCATCAAGTCTATAAAAGCAATTATGTCTTATGAGAGGCCTATCTTCCCAAATGAGTGACGTACGACAATTGGCATTTGGATTTAACCAAGAAACTAAAAATAAATAAATAAAATACACAAGTGGGCCACTGTTTATTGACTACGATTCATGATCGTCTGCCCATGCCCCATTACTTTAGAGGAAAATTTAAAATAAGAAAGAAGGATGAATCAACTAATGAGTCATTAATTACTAATTATAGGTTACTTGCAATGTTGGATGCTTGTAAGGATTCTGGTTGATATGTCCCACGCAGAGATACCTTTCTTGTCGATTTAAATTGCATGCCCTCCTCCAATCAAAGAATTTTCCATTGCCAATTATCTAAGAGAAGGAAACAAACGAACCCCAAGATTCCACCCACTTCTCAATCCATGCCCCCACCACACTTCTCTCTCTCTCTCTCTCTCTCTCTCTCTCTCTCTTTCCTCAAGAAATTATCTATTCTTTACTTTAATTTATATATATATTATGCAAATCATGTTTAAAGAAGTTAATTAAGTAGATATGATTGCATGCATATGGTCCAAAATGGCTTAATGAATGATGGTGTGTGATAGCATCCATTTAAAGCTTACACATTAATGCCTTTGAATTTGCTATGACTTGTAAGCTATTACTTTGCATGTCATTTTCCTTTCCCCTTTTTCTCTTTTTGATATGATACTACAAATATATATATCTCATTGTGACTCATGGGTTTAACTTCAAAGTCATCACAAAGCTATCGACCAAACAAAAATCTAAAAACTTCGACGTCACCACAAAGCTAAACATCCTAAAAATGGATCTCCAAAATCTTACATAATAAAACTACCAAAACATTACTATTCATAATCCAAGACACATGGATGACTCCTACTTGTAAATCACCATAGACTAGTCCATATTGGTTAGGAAGTGCTTTTTAATTACCACCTCCATTTAGGAGCCGAAGTTTACAAGATATTAGGTCATGCAATCTGATATCACAAATTTTTTTTTTTTTTTCCTTTCTGCTATTGAAGAACTTAAGATTTAGTCATAATAAGTGAGATTTCATTTCTTTATTACGTACTAACTAGTAATCTGTGGACACGTGATGAGTACGTAGAAGGAGATGTTGAATTGGTTAAATTCTGTGTTATATGTGATAGAAGGATACTTTCACTTTATACATTTTTTTCACAATAATTTATCTCTGTTCATTGAAATCATTTTGAAGTTTTATATATATGCACTTATCTTTTCATTATTTCTTAGTTGACAAAAACATATTCTCTTAATAATTGTATAGATACGGGTCCAAAATAAATAAACAAATAAAAGTAAAAAAGGGTTCATTTCCATGAAATCTACTCTTTATTTAATCAAACAATTTGATGATTACACATCAATATAAATAAGCTAAGATATTACTAAAAAGAATAGATACTTTGCTTCAAAGCCACCATAAACCAAGGACAAGGCTTTCCCATTCCAAGCATACTCCCCATGCCATGACCAATTTATGGGGAAGCAAACCAAAATACATCTCAATAAATAAAAACCCCACACGCCCGTCATCCTCTCTCCTGAGGTAGTTTGTACTCCCAAACCCAAATACCTCTCTAAGGCCCCATCCCCCCCTCTCCCTCTCTCTGTGCCAAAACAACCTTCACTATCAATGGCGTAAAGAAACAACAAAAGCAAAGCTTGCGTGCCCGAAACCATTGAAACAATCGCAACCCAAATGAGTTTTAAATACAAAAATTAAAACCCATATCGAAAAACTTTATCTTTTCTTGAAAATTTTGAAACTGCTTTAGTAGAAGCAGTCCACAGAGGGAAAACAGAGAGAAACAGAGTGAAACAGAGAGAGAACAGAGCATAACGGTGTCGTTTAGGTGTTGCATATGCTAATGAGAAGCGAGCATTGTGGGATTTGTCAACCTGGGAAAGCCGGGAGAGTCTCTGTTGGAGGGTATTTTCGACTGCATCCATGAAATCACGACGGCCTTGGCTTTCTCTGCTGATAGGATGAGCGATTCAGCTTACAGAGTCGAAACAACGTCGCGTCTCGCCCAATGGAGAATCGACAACTTGGCTTCCTGCACCTACCGCAAATCGGATCCTTTCAAGATTGGCAAGTGGAATTGGTCAGTCAAAACCCAACTCAAATTTTTCACTTTTTACCAAAATTCTTGCTTTGTTGAAATTAATGATCATCAAGATTGAAATCCATGCATGATCAATGTTAACCTAAGATCAGCCATTAACATTTCAATCATTTATATTAACTATAGAAATAAATTTAACCCATTGCATATGTTACAAGTCTGATTGGTAGCTGGGAAAATTTGCCCTGTGTTTGCGTTATATTTTTTTATGGGTTGGAGTGAATTTTAACCTTTTTTTTGTTTTACTTTTTGTTTGGGGTTTGAAATGAAGGCACTTATCTCTAGAGAAGAACAGGGTGTTGTATGTTAAATTGTATCCAGAGATATCGAATTTAACCAGAGATAATCCACCGATTGCTTCTTTTATTATTCGAGTGGTCTGTTCTGTGGGTGATCGCAAGACCTTAACTCATCCAGGTAACCCTCAAGTTATGTCATGCTTTTCTAATTGGGACCCTTAATTTTGGTTAACCTTTTGATGCTTTTAGGGAAAGAAGATCATGATTTGAATTGATGAAGTCGAATTCTTTGATCTGTTTTCTTAATGATGCTGCTTTTCTTTTCTTTTCTTTAGCAGAGCTCATTTACTGCTTTATTTTTGTTTCGTATTCATGTAGAAATTACAAACAAAAAGCTCAAGAGCAATGAGGATTTTGTTTGGGCAATTGAGGTTCCCTTAACTGGAAAATTCATCATTGACGTTGAATTCCTTGATTTGAAGACTGCGTCCGGAGACGTAAGCATCTTACTTGGGTTGCTGTTGTAAGAACTGCTAATATTAATTTAAATATATAGTATGATATTGAAGAGCCAACATAATCACATTGTTCTGTTGAGACAGAGGTTAGGTTGAGCAAAAGTAATAATAAACAAGAGTGCTGATTTCACCATTCCTAATTTAACAATGATAATTTTCCATTACATTTATAGGGTGGAGAACCTTGCTCCATCTGGGCTGAAGGATTGACGCAAAAGCGATCCAATGCAACAGCTCTTGCGTCCCTTGGTCGAATGTTAACAGAAGGCATCCACACCGACATCATGATTAACGTGTCTGATGGAAGCATTGGAGCTCATCGGGCAATTCTTGCTGCAAGATCACCTGTTTTCCGGAGCATGTTTTCGCATGACCTCAAAGAGAAGGAACTGTCCACCATAAACATCTCTGATATGTCAATTGATGCTTGTCAGGCTTTTCTTAATTACATTTATGGGAACATCGGACATGAAGAATTCCTGAACAACAGGCTTGCCCTTCTCCATGCTGCTGATAAGTATGACATCTCTGACCTGAAAGATGCATGCCATGAGAGTCTTTTGGAAGATATTGATTCAAAGAATGTACTTGAGAGGCTCCAAAATGCATCTCTATATCAATTGCCGCGACTGAAAACCAGCTGCATGCGGTATCTTGTGAAGTTTGGTAAGATATATGACATCCGAGATGATTTCAATGCCTTTTTGCTAAGTGCAGACAGGGACTTGATAGCAGAAATCTTCCATGAAGTTCTTAATGCCTGGAAAGGGTTCTGAAGCCTACAAAAACAAAAGACTGAAATCATGAGCGCTGTTACATCTGTCCTATCTTGAATTGTCCATGAATATGTGGATTGCTAGTAAAATTAGTGTCCAGGATTTATGGTCATGTTGATTCTTTAGTCCAGATCGAATTTATCTATGTCGTCCTGTACATATATATATTGGTTCTCATGTCATGACATAGAAGCTGCCATTCGTGTTACAGAAACACATATTCTTGAATTCAAAAGTGAAATTTGAATGATTTTATATTTTGGTTTCGGATTTGAATGATCGTTTTATTTTATCAATGGAATAGTTACATCTTGAAGTCTGAAGAACAGGCCAAATCCTTGACATGCATGGCACACGCATGAGAAACAAAAGCATCTGAATTATCTTCAAGAACATGTTTCGTAATCATTTTACGGCCAGGGTAATGGATTTAAAGAAAATTCAAAACATATAGCAACTAAAGCACAACTAACAAGTTATGAAGACAAAATAGTATAGGAATTCTCTTTGTTACTCGAGAATCTTGAACTCGGCATGAGCAAAACAACGACAATGGCAAGTTTCAGAGCAAGAGCAATTAATCTGTAACTTCTTATAGCAAGGGCAAGTAGCTCACCTTGGAGAGAAACTCTGAGGGAGGGGTTCCTTCTTGTTTCTAACACTGATGTAATTGTGAGCTTTTCTTCTTTAACTGTAATGTTGAGAGACAAGTCCTGATGAAGTGTACACTTCCAAGGAAAGCTTGAAATAACGCTACCAAATCATAAGTGATAAGAACTTCTGGGGGAGCATCTGTTAGAATATATGCATTTACACACACAGAGAGAGAGAGAGAGAGAGAGAGAGAGAGAGAGAGAGAGAGAAGAGGAGTGGTTAGAAAGCATATGGAGAGAATATTATTTGAATCGTTCTTTTATTTTTGTTTCTCCCCTTGGGGTCCACAAGAAACATGGGCTTTGTTTCTCCCTTTGTCTAAAACTGTATGGACTATTTGATCCATACATGAGAATGCTGAGCACATTTGTATCTCTATTTGGACAACCTAGTTGCAGGATTGCCTCGGCTCTAAAGGCAAGGTTGGCCCAACTACAAAAATGAAAGAGAGATTTGCAGTTCAGATTTCTATTTTTATTTTTCACTTTTATTTATATATTTTTTATACGAGAGAGACGTGATACATTTGCATTTTGCAAATCTTTTTACAAGCAAATTTTATAATTTACTAGTCAAAGCAAATCAACAGTGATTTGCTTCGGAAAAAAAAAAGGTACTAAATTTGAATCAATTTCCCACTAAAGAAGACTAATTTATGCTAATTACTTATTCCCTGTACTAAATTTCTTGCCAAATTCAATCAGAATCCCGAAATTAATATACAGGCCACCATGATATTTGACTGATGGACGACATAATTTTTGCAAAAACATAAAGGCTATTTTTCTCTATCAAATAGTCTTATTGCCCTTTTTTGAGGCCACTGTTTTCCCCACCAATTTTCAGAAATCTCATTCTCAATCATATATCCAAATAAAAAACTGTTTCCATGATTTTTAAAAATTATATAATTTCCACACAAAAAATGCCAATTCCCTTAGAAGGTGACTTTCAAATCCCACAACTTTCCGTTATTAATGCAAAGAGAGAAGCAAATTTTCCTTCCAAAAACAGGCAAAAGCAGAGTTTTAAAAACAGGGGAAAGCAGAGCCCTCTTTACGAACTTCTTCAGAAAACATTCAAAGCAAAGCAATGGGGAGTTCAATTCACCCTCCTTTTCTTCTATCTGTTCTTCTCTTCTCTCTGTTTCAGATACCAGTCCATGCTGCCAAAAATGTATGCCTGCATTGCTTTTCTTCACTTCATTCATGCTATTCAGTTTTCTCAGTTTCCTTTTTTTCATTCTAATGAATTCTAGTGATGGCCTTGGAATTATTCTTTGTTTCAGTCTTACATAGTGTACTTAGGAGCACAGCCTCATGTCCTGGACCCTTCGTCGGTCGATCTCGATAGCATAACAAATTCTCATTACAATTTATTGGGATCAGTATTGGGAAGGTATGGCGTTAGATATAAGTTCTGACCAGGCTTTGATTTTTTTTCTTCTTTTTTCTTTTTTTCATGTCTAATGTGGTTGAATTTGTTATTTGCTGCACTTTCTTCAATAGCAATGAAAGGGCCCAAGAAGCAATATTTTACTCCTACAACAGAAATATCAATGGCTTTGCTGCAATTTTGGATGATGAAGAGGCTGCTCAGATTGCAAGTAAGAATTCAAATCTTAGACCTTCTAAAGAAATGTATCAATTACAATGTTTTGGAAATCAATTTTACAACTTCTTTTTTATTTACAGTTTCCTCTGTTTCTCACAATGGCTATGCATATGCAATTGCAGAGGACCCAAATGTTCTTTCTGTTTTCCCAAACAGCGGAAGAAAACTGCATACAACTCGTTCATGGGATTTTCTTGGATTGGAAGAAAACGGAGAAGTTCGTCCCGGTTCAATTTGGAAGAAGGCACAGTTTGGTGCAAATACCATTATCGGAAACCTTGATACTGGTAATTTAATTTGATTTAATTTGTTGGTTGGTTCAAAATTTATGCAACATTGAACTCTTTGGAGTGTAAGATCGGTCACATTGTTTGCTTTTCTTGATAGATGCCTTGCCCATTAAATCTTGCGTGAGTTTTTGAAACTTGATTTCATGTCCACGTTTTTAGCACAACTGATTTCTTCGAATTAAATCCAGAAGTTGACAATGATATAGTGCTGCTGAGTTTTATGTAATTATGGTACTTTGACCTGACCCTATTAGGTCAGCGTAATTCATATCAGATGGAAACTTTCTGAAGTGATATATCATGGTTTATACGAAACAAACCCTAATTGTGAAATGCTGCCAACCCAATATGGCATTTTGCATACTGATTTTGACCAACCCACTTTCATATTTCAAACAGTTTTGCAAGTTGATGTCAAGCTTTGTTTTACTCGACTGCAAGAAAATCTTAAATCTTAGAAATTAACCGCTGTAAGAAATGCAGATCAGTCTAGATAACTGACTGTGACAACTTTGTAATACATCTGTGTTTCAAATTGTGGGTATTTTCTTCTTTCTTTTTTTTCTATTAAAATACCATATATATTATTTCCCTTTCTGGTTTAGTTTTGCTTTTGCTTCCATTATTTGTAGCATATTATTTGTGTGTGCCATACTGTTCTTGTGTCAATCATGTGTGTTTTGACGTTTTCTTTTGTTTGCCTTGTTTTCTTTATTGGGTGTGTGGTAGGTGTTTGGCCGGAATCAAAGAGCTTTAGCGATGAAGGGATTGGACCAATCCCATCCAAGTGGCGTGGAATCTGTCAGCTTGACACCAAAAATGGTTCTCACTGCAATAGGTTCATTTCTTTTCTCCACTTCTTGCTGTCTTTCTTAAGCACTTCAATTTGCAAGACACATTACATGTTTGAAGAGTTTAATTGTCCCTCATTTGAGTGATCAAGACTTATTTATGGGTACAAACATAACTTAAGATGCTAGGTGAAGATACCCAATAGGTATATCTAACTTTAGTAGACGAATTATGGACAGAAATCATCCACTTGCTCGTGAGGACTGCCTTTAACATTTCTCTTATTTTACGCCTACCCAACTATTTTGGAATTGGTTTTCATCACCATGTGAGTTTATGGTTTATGGGAGGTGACTGTATCCCATGGGTAATTGACTTTTGAAAGTACACTAGCACGCACTGGGACCTATTGGGCTACATCTATGATCCAACACCCTAACTTTGATATAAAGTTCGAAAAGAAAGGGGGTCCCTGTTATAAAGTTCCCAAAAGCTGTGTCTCCCACCAATTTTTTCTGGTATGTCATACTTTTGCAATTTATCACCTATCAGTTCAGCTCTATTTTATTTTTATTTTTTTTGAATTATGTGATGGAAAGAATATGCTTTGAGAGTCATCAAAGTAAAAAGTTTGGATCAAAAGAAAAATGGTTTCCTGTATTTTATCCACATTGAAAGAGGCTTTTTTTGTTTGGTCCTTATCATGCTTGGAGTTGACTGAAATGCCTCCAATTTAAATCTCAGAAAGTAAACTTGGGTCATTGTTTATGTTGCACATTTTCATCACATGCAGACGTAAGACCAACTATGGTAGCAATGTCTGTGTTGTACTAATCTAATCTACAAAATGTTATTATTTACTACTAATATTATATTCATTACATGCTGCCTCACTTTCATGCATATTTTTCTTAGCACGCAAGTTGTGATTGCTGCATTGATAGTTTGTTTAATTCAGTTCACATGGCTGTGTTTTTCGGTTGAAGAAATCTTTGCTTGTCAGCTTAATACAAGTTTAATTAGCTGATAATCACTTGTGCAGGAAGCTGATCGGAGCAAGGTACTTTAGCAAAGGCTATCTTGCATATGCCTCCACAGTAAACTCCTCTGCAGCTAAGCCCATCCAGCCCAACGCACGCGACTTTGGTGGCCATGGCTCTCACACCCTGTCAACAGCTGCTGGTAATTTCGTCCCGAGAGCAAGTATCTTCGGCAATGGCAATGGCACTGCGAAGGGTGGATCACCGAAAGCTCGTGTGGCTGCGTACAAGGTATGTTGGCCGCCAATCAATGGCAACGAGTGCTTTGATGCAGACATCATGGCAGCCTTTGATGCTGCAATCAGTGACGGTGTTGATGTGCTTTCGGTGTCTCTGGGTGGTCAAGCTGCAGAGTTCTTTAGTGATGGGATCGCAATAGGGTCCTTCCATGCTGTCAAGAAGGGGATTTCTGTGGTCAGCTCAGCTGGCAATTCAGGCCCTACCCCCGGGACAGTGTCGAATGTGTCACCGTGGTTGCTCACAGTTGGAGCTAGCACAATTGATCGTGAGTTCTCCAGTTATGTTGCTCTCGGCAACAAGAAGCATCTCAAGGCACTTTAACCCCTCAACCGCCATTTGTTCATTGTTGTTATGAGTAATGCTAGACGGATTGCATTAATTGACGATATGATATATAGTCGTTGATGTGCTAATCAACAGTTATATTTCCCAAAATAATCCTAGTTTTTTTTTTTTTTGCATTGTTTTTACTAGGGAGCAAGTCTTTCCTCTGGAGCTTTGCCATCTAAGAAGTTCTACCCATTGATAAGTGCAGTAGATGCTAAAGCAGCTAATGCTTCCGGTTCAGATGCGTGAGTACCACCAGTTATTTTCATGATATGTTCTTCATGATTTACAATGCTTGACCGTTTCTTGTTGAACTTTGTTCAGCCAGCTCTGCAAAGCCGGAAGCCTGGAAAAAAAGAAGGTGGAGGGGAAAATTTTGGTCTGCGTTCGAGGGGAAAATGCAAGAGCTGACAAGGGTCAGCAAGCTGTTCTTGCAGGCGCTGTTGGAATGATTTTGGTTAATGATAAGCTAAGTGGGAATGAATTAATTGCTGATCCTCACTTGCTTCCCACTTCACATGTCAATTATTCTGATGGGAAAGCTGTTTTTGCCTACATCAAGTCTACCAAGTACATGTTTACATCTTTCACTTTTTGTTTGTGAACTTCAAAAGTTCCTGATTAATTATCTGGCTCCTCATTCGGTGAAATTTTGCATGCATCAGGACCCCTGTGGCTTACTTAACTCGTGTGAAGACGGAAGTAGGAACAAAACCAGCACCATTTATGGCTTCATTCTCTTCTAGGGGACCTAACACCATTGAGCAGTCAATCCTTAAGGTATTCTTTGAAACTGTTTTCTAACTTGTGTGTATAGTGTTTGTTTAGATTATTTCAACTAATTTGTTCTTGTTTGTAAATCAGCCTGATATCACAGCACCAGGGGTGAGTATAATTGCTGCTTATACTGGAGCAGAAGGGCCAACTAATCAGAAGTTTGATAAGCGCCGTGTATCTTTCAATACAGAATCTGGAACTTCGATGTCATGCCCTCATGTATCTGGAATTGTCGGTCTTCTGAAAACTCTTCACCCATCTTGGAGCCCTGCAGCTATTAAATCTGCAATCATGACCACAGGTACAAGCTTTTTTTAGTGACACCATAACTAGTCAAACTTGTTTTGGAATCTTACATTTTCCTTTTTTCGCTTCGATTGCAGCAAGAAAACGAGATAACAACAAGGAGGCAATGCAGGATTCATCCAAAGCCAGAGCAACACCATTTGCTTATGGAGCAGGACATGTTCAACCAAACCGTGCTATGGACCCTGGACTTGTTTATGACTTAACTACTGATGATTACTTGAACTTCTTATGCGCTCGTGGCTATAACACAACACTGCTCAAAGTATTTTCCAACGAGCGCCACACATGTCCCAAGGCATACAGTCTTGCAGATTTTAACTATCCTTCAATTACAGTTCCTGATCTCCATGACAAACCAGTGACTGTAACTAGAAGAGTTAAGAATGTTGGTTCTCCAGGCACATACGTAGTACATATTAAGGAACCGGCAGGAGTTTCTGTGTCGGTTAAGCCTAGTAGCTTGCAATTCAAGACCATTGGTGAAGAGAAGAAATTCAAGGTTGTTCTGAAGCCTAAGGTTCAGGGTACTCAAGACTATGTGTTTGGAGAGTTGAATTGGTCTGATGGAAAGCGCAATGTCAGGAGCCCTATTGTTGTCATGCGCTACTAGAAATGACAAAGTAGGTCAATTCATTTTCATCATTGTCTAGAGCCCTTCAAATATGTGGAAATGATTAGGTAGAGATCACATTAGTCAGATGTATTTTATGTCTTTTCTGTATTTTGGCATAAATGATTTATTTTTTCTAAAACATCAGTGGAAAATAAAATGGTCAATAAAGGAATTGATGATGAAGGATCAAATGGAAGTTTTTATTTGGTTACCATGTGAAAAAATGTAGTGTTAATTTAATATATTTTTTCTTGACTTGAGCTCGTTGTGTGTCACAACTTGCTACCCAAACAGGCATAAAATAGGACAAAGACTTGGACCCATGTGTCCAAACAAGGATCTTTTGGTTTACTTAAAAAATATTGAAGCAGCTCTCGTACGGAGTCACCACTTTGGCCAACACTTTACCCCTTACGGGCCGACCCGGTGTGAGTGGGGATTAGTCTGGGTTGTGGTTAAGGCTTAAAGGTGCCACCCATAGTTGGGGCCCATCTAGGACCACCTCATGGTTCAGACAAAAAAAAAAAAAAAAAAATTGAAGCACAATGGCCAGAAGAAAAAACAGAAATCTCAAAGTTAAAGCAGTCTACCATCAAATTAAACATCTCTCTTATACATATACATATACATATCAGCATTTTTTGTTTATGGAATCTACTTTTTCAAGCTATCAGTGCCATAAATTTATATAGTTATGTCAACAATTTGTCATACAGAGAAATAAACTTGAACCAGCTTTGTAGCCAACATTTTTGTACAAAGATTAATCAAAGCAATGGTGCTTTCAACTCTTCCTTCCTTGCTTCTACCAGTTCTTTTGTTCTTTCTGTTGCAGACACCTACCCTATCCATAAAAAAGGCAAGCATGTTTTTCTTTTAATCTTTTTGCTGTAGCTAAACAAGTTTTCTTGAACATGATGATCATATTTCTAAAGTGTACTTGAGTTCTTCCAATGACCTTAAGATTTCTTTGGTACTGCAGTCATTCATAGTGTACTTAGGAGCACATTCACATGGCCCCGACCCCTCATCCGTGGATCTCGATTCTGTGAGAAAATTTCATTATGATTTTCTGGGGTCTTTCTTGAGAAGGTATAGAATTTAACACAAGGCAAAGTAAACCTCTGGTCCTTTCCATATAAATTGATGTTCCAAACTATTTTATTTGCATTGAATTCCACTTACAGCAATAAGAGTGCCAAAGATGTGATCTTCTACTCCTACACTAGACATATTAATGGTTTTGCTGCAATTCTTGAAGAGGAAGAAGCTGCAGATATTGCAGGTATGTGGTAATAATTTTTTTCTTCTAATGTCAGTTTTCATATATACAAGCTACAACCTAGTTTGTGGTATTAAGCTGCAGGAAAATATTTATAAAGTTGCTTTGTATTTTTGAGGATGCAGAGCATCCAAATGTGATATCGGTTTTCTTAAACAAGGGAAGCAAACTGGAAACAACTAGATCATGGAATTTTCTTGGATTGGAGAGAAATGGACTAATTCCTTCACACTCCATTTGGATGAAGGCAAGGTTGGGAGAAGATACAATAATTGCAAACATAGATACTGGTAAACTTCTATATGTTTTTCGAGTTTATTAGACCACAAGTAATTACTTATTTTCTTCAAGAACTATGAAACTTGTAAACTGCTGTCAGTGTCGCATTGTTTCTGGAACTTCGTTTCGTGTTTGCTTGTTTCGGTCACACAACTCATTTCTTTGAATGAAACCCACCAAGCTGATAGCTTTTAGATTATCCTGCTAAGACTTGTAACTTGAGAACTTGATCAAATTTGGGATAGAAGATAATAATGAAGAACTTTTTGAGAAATTTTTGTTCACTCTTTGCCAAAACCTACATTGTTTTTTACATTGTTAACTGTTGCTTCTTGCAATGGGGATGTGTTAGGTGTTTGGCCAGAATCAAAAAGCTTTAGTGATGAAGGGTTGGGACCCGTCCCTTCAAAGTGGCGTGGAATTTGTCAACATGATACAAAGCGAGTTCGTTGTAACAGGTCCAGCCTCTTGAGTCTTATCTATTGACAGCCACTTTTTCTTTAATTATATTCTAAACCAATGCATTGATAAAGCTGGTAGGTAAACTTCAAATTCAAAATCTACTTCTATCAGAGTACCTTGAATCCAGTTGTGTTTCATTGCATTTCATACTTCAATTTCACTAGAGAGAAAAAGCAACATATGGTTTTAGTCTTTAGGTGAGAAGGCCAAAAAAAAAAGGTACTAAATTTTGATATTCATGAGCATATGGTGCATAAGAAACTTAGAAAACATTTTCAGAGAAAAAAGAAAAAAACCTGCTAGTGCTAGAGTTGGTACGTTGTTCTGTTCAAGCAATGACTCAGTACCAGAGGTTGATCAATCATTGGTTAGGAGGCCATAATTGAGGGGGAAAAAAGGAGAAAAATCTTAGCATTATTGGATTTTGTGGTTTTCTCACATATGATTTTTATCTTTATAACACCAGTCACCATCTACTTTCTGTTGAAGCGACTCTTTTGATCCTATTTTTCACTTTTCATTTCTTGGTGGGACATTGGCTGATAACTAGCTATCTGAACCATTCAAGCTATCTCTCTTCTTAATGATGTGCTCTTGCTAATTCTGCGTTTTATTGTTTTGCCTCCTATGGCTTTCTGTGCATATCTGCATATCAAATTTTCAAACCATGCTTTTACCAAATTTTAGAAAATTTGTGTTTGTTAATTGGACTAATGGTCATGCAAGTGTTCAACCCAAGCTTGATGAGAATCTTTCCCATATATGAAAGGGCACATTTTAATGCAGAAAGCTGATTGGGACAAGGTACTTTAACAATGGTCTTGCCATGTATGCTGGCCCTCTCAATTCCTCCTTTTCCACAGCTCGTGACTACGATGGCCATGGATCCCACACCCTTGCCACGGCTGCTGGCAACTTTGTTCCCGGAGTAAGTGTTTTTGGAAATGGCAATGGAACTGCCAAGGGTGGATCGCCTCGAGCCCGCGTTGCTGCGTATAAGGTATGCTGGCCACCATATGAAGGTGTCCAGTGCTTTGATGCAGACGTATTAGCTGCCTTTGATGCTGCAATAAGTGATGGAGTCGATATAATCTCTGTGTCTCTTGGTGGAGGAACAGAAGAATTTTTTAAGAATTCAATTTCAATAGGGGCCTTCCATGCAGTTAAGCATGGCATTGTTGTGGTTAGTGCAGCTGGCAATACAGGACCAAATCCAGGGACAGTGTTAAATCTGTCGCCTTGGTTATTAACAGTTGGTGCTGGCACGATCGATCGGGAGTTCACAAGTTATGTCTCTCTTGGAAACAAGAAGCATTTGAAGGTATCATTTTGCATACTTTCCTAGTGTCTACAAGGGACGAGCCAATACAACCAAACTAGGATGTTCAATGTTTGAATGGTTGCCAATAGCAGCATGCCTGTTTGATGTTTACTAGACATAATAAGTTGCAGTAACTAGTTTACATTTTTGCTCTGCCAGGGAGTTAGCCTTTCAGCTAAAGGCTTGCCATCGGAAAAGTTCTACCCATTGGTCAGTGCAGCAGAAGCGAAAAATGCTAATGCATCCACTGCAGAAGCGTAAGCACAATGCTTGAACCTATCAATTTCTAAAAGTTGTATGATTCTACTCTTTAGCAATGTGTAAGCTGCTTCATTTTTCACTTCAGAATAATTTGCCAGGGTGGAACCCTTGATCCTAGGAAGGTGAAAGGAAAAATCTTGGTTTGCCTTCGAGAATATAACGATAATGCAAGAACTGAGAAGAGCTGGCAGGCTGATATGGCAGGTGCTGTAGGAATGATCTTGGTTAATGATGAGCAAAGTGGAAATGATGTTGTAGCCGATCCTCATGTGCTCCTTGTTTCACATGTCAACTACACTGACGGCAAATATATCTTCGATTACATTAAATCTACCAAGTCTTTAACTCTCTCACTTGCTAATTTGCTTTTGAACTTTGTTTATATATATATATATATATATTATCAAATTTGGTCTTAATTACTCACAGAGTGTGTAACTTTATTCATAACAGAACCCCTATGGCTTACTTAACTCGAGTCAAGACTGAATTGGGATCAAAGCCAGCTCCATTTGTGGCTACATTTTCATCTAGGGGGCCTAACCTCCTGGAACAGGGAATCTTAAAGGTAAACTATAACTTTCTCTGTTCTCTAGTTCAAATTAATGGGGTTTTCTTTCCCTGGTATTACCATTACAGTTTATATATTACATGAACTTTTCATTACATACTTTCAGCCTGATATCATTGCACCAGGGGTGAGCATAATTGCTGCTTATACTGAAGCAGTAGGGCCAACTTCTCAAATTTCCGATACTCGCCGGGTTCCTTTTAATGTGCAAACTGGCAGTTCAATGTCATGCCCTCATGCATCTGGAATTGCAGGGCTTCTCAGGACACTCCACCCTGATTGGAGTCCGGCAGCTATTAAATCTGCAATCATGACCACTGGTACACAACACCTAGTTTTTTTCATTGACCAGTTAAAAATGAAATGCACTTCTGCCTTTCTAGCATTACTTACTTTCCTTACACATGCAGCTACAACACAGGATGACAGCATGGAACCAATACTTGATGACTCTTCTTCTTATGTGAAGGCAACACCATTTGCTTATGGCTCAGGACACATTCAACCAAACAAAGCAATGGATCCAGGACTAATTTACAACCTAACAACGCTCGATTACTTGAACTTCTTATGCGCTCGCGGATACAACGAAACCATGATCAAATCATTCTCCAACTCAACTTACAAGTGTTCCAAGTCATTCAGCCTAGCAGACTTCAACTACCCTTCAATTGCAGTTCCTAATCTCGGGGAAGACTCAGTGACCATAAACAGAAAAGTTACAAATGTTGGTTCTCCCGGCACATACAGAGTGCATGTCAAGGAGCCATCAGAAGTAGAAGTTTTGATTAAACCTAGAAGATTGAAATTTAAGAGAATTGGTGAAGTGAAGAAGTTCAAGGTTATATTGAAGGCTAAGGTTAAGGGTAAGCCTCAAGGGTATGTATTTGGAGAGTTGATATGGTCAGATGGCAGTCACTATGTAAAGAGCCCTCTTGCAGTGAAGCACTATTAGAATTTAGCCATGTTTGCATTCAACTTTAGATTGATTGTCAGCTTAAGTTCGCGCCGATAAGCGAATAAAAAGATGAAACAAATGTTCTTAAATGGTTACTTTTCATATTTTGCTGCCATATGAATATGATCAGCTCAAAGAAACTATGTAACAAAGATCTCCATAGATCAGAAAATCAGCTGGAAATTTATATGGTTGATGAGATCTTTGGCCTCAAAACAGATCCTTATATGCGCACTCAACAAATTATACCAACCCTTACAAAGAAAAAACAAATGGAAAAACTAAAAAACCAACTACACACCATGGAAAACCTAATCACCACACCACACACAACAAAAATATATGATGGGACACTAAAGAAGAGTAAATCTATAGATGAACAGCTACCAAACATAATAAACATATCATATATAAATGTTGTAGTAGTAGAGGAGAGAAATTGAGGAGAGGGATGAATAAGAGGAAACCTAAGGCATGGGTGGATTGGGAAAGATAACATTTTTTTTCATCTACTTCTAAGTTGTAACCACTCAAAAGTAGTAATTAGTTTTATCATCTTCCCCACTTACCCATGCCATAACCTTCCTAAAATTCCATCTCCCTCTCCATATTCTCTGCTTCTTCACTTGCTAACCTTATGGCCACACAACAACATTCCTTATCTATATTTATATATAGCTATGGTTGTGCACCAAATTCCTATCCATAGCCGTTGGATTAAAGATAAGTATTAGGTAGAGACAATGATCTGGCCCTTCATTTCATAGGTTTTTAATTCCAATCTCTTGGTCTTTGCTAACAGTCAATGCGTTCGCATAAAAAAGCTATAAAAAGTGAAAAAGATAAGGCCCAATCTTTCTTCTTGGAGAATACTTCATCTTTTTTCTTTTCTTTTTTTACAATTCACTTTTATGTAACAACAAATAAGGCCCAATCTTATTAAAAACAAATAAGGCCCAATCCATGGACAATCAGTCCGACCAAAAAATGAACCCAAATTACTATTTAGAAATTAATAAAAGCAAAACCCTAGCTATCCCTCTCTTCCTCTTTCGTGGCCCTCTCTCTCACATATAGACGAAGACGCAGAGGAAGAGAGAAGGAGGTCAGAATTTGCTTGCATCACTCACAGGTACTCTCTTTTTATCATAAAGGTTTAATTTTTTTCTCCAACATTTCTTAAGCTTAGTAAAATTAGACTATTCGTGACCTAAGTTTTCGTGGGTACGTTGAAAAAGCAGTTGATCTTTGTATCTTTGTTGAATTTTACAGAAATTTTTGTGTGTTTTTCATTTGGTCTCTGCCAATTTTGATGCTTGTTCTATTTCCGAGCTCGATAAAAAAAATTCAGGCACCTATGATTAAATTGGGAAAATTTTGTCACATGAAACGGAATTTAATTTTCCTTTTATTTGGAGTAAGTTTAAAGCAGGGATATTTCAGTTGATGATTGCATCTTAGGCTGTGGATATTTCAGTTGAGGTTGTAATTGTGAGAACAGCTCTGTTTCGGTTCTCTCACACAAGGCAGGGATAGTTTGTATTGTATTGTATATTTTTATTGATATAAGGCTTAATTAGAATTAGAGTAGATGTTTATTGTGAGAACAGATGTATTTTTTAGGGATTGGTAAACATTATTTCGGATTTTATGCTCCTATTTGAACAAATTTTGATTAATATATGAAGGGTCCAAACGTCACAGCAGTTAAAAATGCAGTCCAATGAAGCTCCTGTTTCCATGGAAGTTGAAGCAGTTCCATCTGAACCAAGTTCAGCAGCTGCGGCTTTGCCACCAAAGCCAATTTTTGAGCCTTTGAAGGCTCATGAGATGTCAGATGGTCGAGTCCAGTTCCGGAAAGTCTCTGTTCCACCACATCGATATTCGCCTCTCAAGAAAGTATGGATGGATATTTACACCCCAGTTTACGAACAGATGAAGATAGACATTCGTATGAATCTCAAGGGTCGCAAAGTTGAGTTAAAGACTAGAGCTGACACACCCGACGTGAGTAATCTACAGAAGTGCTCTGATTTTGTTCAGGCTTTCATGCTGGGGTTTGATGTGATAGATGCAATTGCCCTTTTGCGTATGGATGAGCTGTATGTGGAGTCTTTTGAGATCAAGGATGTTAAAACACTTCGTGGAGAGCATTTGTCTCGTGCTATAGGAAGACTGTCCGGTAAAGGTGGTAAAACAAAGTTTGCCATCGAGAATGCTACGAAGACGAGGATTGTGATTGCTGATACCAAGATTCACATACTGGGCTCTTTTGCAAATATTAAAGTTGCAAGGGATTCTCTTTGCAGCCTTATCTTAGGATCCCCTGCTGGAAAAGTGTATTCAAAATTAAGAGCAGTTACTGCCAGATTGGCAGAAAGGTTTTGATTTTAGTCTGTGATACCTTAGAGAGTGTCTTGAGCTATGCATTTGTTGTAGCCAATTATAGTTTTGAGTGTTCTGAGGATGCGTGTGGTGGCTCTGCAAATGTTCTAGGTAATTTTGTAACTTGATAAGACATGACATCTTGTAAGAATTTCCTTTTTTATGGAAACATTTGTTTGAGTTGCATTCATAATTATATTTCTGTTTCATTTTAGACTATGCTCCTGAGTGATGGGTTCATTTTGTTATCCAGTTGATACGTTATATCATCAAAGTGCGTACATTATTTATAAGAGGTCTTCAAGGTGCTTCTTCCTGTGTTGAGGCAAATACAAGGGATGATGACCTTAAGGACTTGTATCAAATAACAAAAAAAATATAGACTTTATGCTGGTTAGCTATCTATCCCTGAGCACCATTGCCCACTCCGCAGAGCAACTCTTCTAATGTTTCAAGGTTCTAGTCAGCACGCTTAGAACTGCAGCAGATGCAGCTTCTGGGTCCTTGCCACCCAAGCCAAAGTTTGAGCCTTTGAAGGCTCATGAGATGTCATATGGCTAAATTCAGTTCCGGGAAGTCTATGTTCCACCACATTGTTTCTTGCCTCTCAAGTAAGCTTAAGCATTGAATGAGAATGCTCTCAAAGATGATGATTATGATAGCTGACACCAAACAGATTGGCAGATTGGTTTTGATTTGGGTTTGTGATACCAAGAGAACTTGTTTTGATTGAGTTATATGCATTTTCTATAGAATATGTTTAGGAGTGCCTCTAGAAGGGCTAAAAGCGTTTTAGAAGTGTTTCTGGATCATAAAAGTGTTTTCTGGAGAAGCACTTGGATTTCTCTTGAAAATTTCAACATCTTTATTATAAAAGCACTTTTGCTAAAAGCGCTTATGAGCATAAGCAGTCCCTAACGAGCCCTTAGCATTTGAGGATGATTCTTAAGGACAAGTTTGGCTCTGCAACAAATAAAAGAAAAAGTTCTAGGAGGTCTTGACATTGGTTGAAACTAGAGATGAAATGAATCTCATGCATGACATGAACCTTCAAGGAGATATAACATACTCACGTGCTTACATCATTTATGGAATTTTCTTACATTGTATTAAATTTGGTGGTTGAATTTGAATACGTACATGTAAGGCATGCAGCCAAAAGCATGTCTGTAGAAAATTTCAAACCACTAATTTCAAGCATGTCTGTAGAAAATTTCAAACCACTAAGTACTAATCAAGCATGTCTGACTATAACGCACATACTATTTTTACTTTTATTTGTCAAGTGTTTTGGCCTTCAATAAGCCGCAGGTGCTGGCCTTCAATAATAAAATTGTATAGGCTGAATAATGTTATGTTGTTGTATTGACGCCTAACCCTAGGATTACAGGCAAACAAAATTCACAATTTAGTGGGATAGGAATCCTAAACAAGGAAGTAAATAAAAGGGCAAGCAATAATAACGAGATATTGTCATGCTAGGAAAATTATCTTTCGAGACTAACTTGTTTGTCTGAAAATACCTGTAGGATGACTCAAAGCCCTAATACGTCCAAAAGCTGTGCAATCAAAAAAGAAAGAACTTTTGTGTCTTTTAATCAAGACAAGTTTTCTCTCCAAGGAGAGAAACCTCATAGACCAAAACTTCTATTCAATTTAGACTTCCAAACCTGATCCACCCAGGTCTCTACATGAGACGCCAACACAGCAGCTAACTAAAAGCTGTCCAACTTTCAATATAAGTTCTGACCCAATAAGGATATAAGTTCTAATTCAACATGGACTCTTAGTGAAGACACCAATCAAGTAATCTTTAATAGAAAAACAATATCTATTAAAACAAATGAATTAGACCAATCAAGTAGGAAATAATATCAAGAGATAAAATCTAATCATATTAAAAATAGGATTAACATAAAAATACTTGAGTGAAACTAATTCCAACTAGGAATTCTATAATGAATGCATGATTATGTCATGATTTACATGTTGTCAAGTTTCTCATATGGTCAGGTCAGGTCTCGGAAGTATGGGGTTGAGAGAGTTGAGCCAAAACGTCCAGTAACAATTCCTAACAAACTAATTTTCAACCTATGCTAGAGTCTAGGAAATGACAATCCAATTTTCATACTAACAATGTCATCTCTCTAATAAAGGTGGAGTCTGCCAATATTAATGAGTCTCGCCTCTATTAGAGAAGAGATGATACACAAGTTGGTCTCTAAAAATAGTCTCCTTATCATTTTTCATTATATATTTACAATATATTTAACATTCAATAAGCGGCAGGGCCTCTTAATCGAAATTTTTTTTAATAAAAAAAGAGGCAAAAAAGTAATTTAACTCTTATATTTTATTAAACAGGTTTTGACCTATAACTAACAAAAGTATAAGCCCATTTGACCAAATCAAAAACTAAAGATTCTCGACTTAAGACTTTACTTTTCTTATATTCAAATTTTTTTTTTTATGCGATTATATTCAATTAATTGCTTGTATTAATTTGAACAATTATTAAAGGGACTTCAAAATCATTTAGTCATAATGATATTAATATTATTGTGACAAACCGGTACTTTATCTCATCTGTTTGATGGGATGGAAGAGATGACAATTTTCCCCGCGGGTGAGGGTCTTTGCGGGGATTCGACCCTAATGGGTCGGGTATGAAGGATAAAAAACGGGTATGGGGATGGGTATGGGGAATTTTTTGGGTATGGTGTTTGGGGAGGGGCGGGGATGGTATTTTAATCCCCGACCCGAACCCTCCCCGTTTAGAATATATATATATGAAACTAAAGTGATTGTGCCGACAAAATTTTATATTTTCTATCATTATATTATATATTTATATAATTTATATGAATCTTAAGTCACACTACTTATATATTTCGTTAAGTTCTAATCAATATGTAAACATTCTTATATTGTCTTATACGTATATATTATATATATTCATTGTATTGCCCTAATTTTATTTTTTTTCTTTCAACAAAGTAGTTTTATATTGATTTTTTCTTCCGTAATGGGGCGGGTCGGGGAACCCATTCCCCAACGAAAGTGGGGATGGGGAATC